AACATGGCACCTTGAGCTGAGCAGCCGTGAGCTGCCGATGGGCGGCCGGATGGTGACTGGACTTGGAGCTGAGCTAGCTGCGCCCTCCACAACTAAGACTGAAGGACAACAACTTGGCTGTTCCCCTTCCCCAATTCCCCAATAAAATCTTTTTTTAAAAAAAGGAAAAAGAAAAAGAGATGTCTGACACCTACTGATCTGCACTCAAGTCACCTTAATATTCTTGGTATAAGGGAAGGAATAAACCATTAAGAGACAGTAAAGAACTGGTTAGGTGTTCAGGCTGGTTTGGCTTCAGTTTTCTCTGGATATCCCTCTGGCCTAGACCAAAATTCCTCTGATACATTGGGACTTGGTGAAGCCCCCAGCGAGGGCAAGGCCAGGTGGACCAACCCCAGGAAAATCTCCCTCAATCCTCACTCAATACAAGAGCTGCTTCCCATCACCGTGTTTCCGGCATGGACTAGGTTTTCAAGGGAAGAAATCTTGGCAGAGAATCACCACAACCGAATTTGGTTTGAGAAAGGGTGATGTTCCCTGAAGCAGACAAAATGCCCCCACTGTTCCTCCACTTAACACTTCCATGGCATAGAGAAGGCAGCATGGATGCCCGCCTGCCTGCTCCAGCTAACATGAGGCTGCTGCACGTGAAGGGAAAACCTAATACTGGGGGATCGGGCAGTTGATGAGGGAGCAAGGCAGCTGTCACAACCACCCCAGCTTGCCGACCTTACCCTAATCCCTGCCCAGCTCCCACCCTGAGAGGAAAGGGGGATTTCTACAAGGATCAGGCAGGAGGAGAACTCAATCCCCCTCCAGAAATACCTCCAAAGCCAAAGAGAAGACACACGGGACCATGTGTTTCTTTAACTCCCTTTTTAAGCTTCACAGCAACAACTTTCTCATCAGAGTCAAAGGGGTGGGATGTTTTTGCCAAGAACAGAACAAACAACACACATACAGAACTCTGCTCTGCGGGTTTTCATCCAGTCCCTCCCTTTCTGTCTAATTCAGAAAGCAATTCACCTACAAGAAAGTAGGTTGTCAAACTGGGACAAATTTGCTCTTCCCTAAAAGAGAGCTACAGGAAGAGACAGTCCTACAATTTCCTTAGGTTATTGCTTCTGCTATCGTGCGGCCAGTGAGGGGTGAGGTCGAACACTGAGGAGGGCAGAGCAGAGAAATGGAGCAATTTTAGTATTTTCAAGACACTGTTAAACTGCTAAAATCACCAACAAAGAGAACAAGATTTCTAAATAAACCATGTATGGAGAGTGTTTAAAAGAGAAAAAAGAAAGCACTGAGGGCCTCTCTTACCTGTACAGCCAGGAGCATCTGGTAAAAATAGAGTTTACATGTAGCTTCTTTCAAGCGTTTATTCGCCACCACCCTGTCAAACAGCTCGCCTCCCTCCATCCTGAAACACAGGCAAAGCAAGGGGCTCATGCCGGGAGGGAAACTCACTTGGGTGGACAATAATAACATGCACAAAACAAACTCATTAAGACAAGCAAAGAGTTGCCATGTTTATTCACTCTTGACTGCCACTGTAAAGGTGATGAGGTAATAAGCTCATTCACAATGAAGATGTTCCTGTAAGAAACTAAGGACCAAGGAAGGACAGAAGGGGTGTGCAGTGGGCACTGGAGACATGTGAGGTGCTTTAAAAAACCAAATTCAGTAGATCAGAGGCGGAGCCCAGGAGTTTGCATTTTTATCACACACCCCATGGGATTCTGAGACTTGTAAAATAGAGCAGCAAGCAGAAACCTACAATCAGACAATGGTCTGAACCCCAGCTCCACAGCTTCCCAGGTAGGGGACTTTGGGCAACTTCTATGACCTCTCTGAGCTTGTATCTGCCTCTTAAAAAAAAAATTGAGATGATCCCACCTACTTTGATAGCTGTTGTAAAAATTAAGAGATAACTGACCCAGATATAGCGCCTGGCACAGTGTAGAGGCTTGGCAAGGTTATTCAATCACTCTTCACTCCAGTTTCCTTTTCTGTAAAGTGGGACTAAAAGTAGTAACCCACCAGTAACTTGTAACTAACCTGGATAACTGTTATGAAGGTTAAATGAGTCAATTCATGTGGAGTGCTTATAGCAGTACTGGGCTCATATTAAGTGCTTAATTAATATTGGTTACTGTTATTGTATTATTATTATTACTACTACTACTACTACTACTACTATTATTAAACCGTTTTAATTAGATCCAGTTATGTAACAATCTCTCATCTAATAGCAACAGATATCCCCTCAAGCACCACAAGGGCTGTCCAGATTCTCATAATGCTATGATCAGGATGGCTGTTTACTACATAATCTTAGTAGACAACCTGCATAGCCCGTGTTTATCATTCAGGAGCAAAGCCTTGCCTGTCTGCCACAACAGCTGCTCCCAGAAACACTCCATATTTATGCAACAATGCACATCAGGCAGGCCTCTTTCAGGAATGAGACAGGAAATTACATTGGTCACACCAAATAAAACAGGACTCTATGGCCACCGAAATATTGGGTTGTCGGAAAAGTCATGATGCATTTTTGCAATGAAAAACATAGGAAAAAAACATCATGACTTTTCCAACAACCCAATAAACCAGTAAGCAAACCAGCACCTGAAAGATACTCAGGTGCCGCCATGCAACCTGGTACTGTGATCTGAGCAGATAGGTCTCTCAAGGCAGGTATCTTAGAGTAATAATATCCACCTGTGTTTGAACACCTACATGCCAGGTGCTCTGTTGGGGGTTTCCCTAGTAGCATTTAATACTTACAACTCTGTACACGGGGTATCATTATTATCCCCATTTAACACCAGGAAAATGAGACTCCTAGGGGGAAGTAAGCTAACAATGGGCAGTCAGCTAGTCAAATGCAGAGCAGGATTCGAACCCAGGCCTCAATCCAGGGCCTGGAGCATCTAAGCTACCTGCCTTTGAAAACACCGGAGGGATGTCAGATGCACTAACCCAACACACACTTTGAGGGCCCCACCACCACACACGTACATTGAGGGTCCCCAGGATGAGAAATGCAAGCCAGCACTAGACTCTTCAAATAAACATTCAAATGGGAACAAATAGAAAAGCTTACTACTTACAATTCCAAAACAATATAATAATCTTCAGCATCAAAAATGTCTTTAATCTTGATGATACAAGGCTGAAAGGGAAGAGGAAAAGTAGTGAGACTCTCCTACAAGGAAAACCTACAAGAGAAGGACACGGGGACATCTGACAGAGGGTCAGGGAGGCCAAGACCAGGCATTCGGCCCCATGTCTTGGGACACTTTGAAGGTCATGCAGGGGACAAAGCAGAACAGAATTTACCTGGCTCCTCAGTGCGAACGGACCAGAAACTCTCCACACCATCAAGTTGGCGAGGGACTGGTTCATGTTTCACACACGAGGATGGCACCAAGCAAGGAAGGCCGGTCTCTTCCCAGCCTTCCTCCTCACCGCCCCAGCGCACAGGTACTCAAGGATACCTAAGGAACTTGGGGAGCCTGACAAGTAGAAGCAGCAGGCCAGGTGGGGAGCACAGCCATGCTGCCAGGTAGCGGCCTGTTCAGCTCCTCGCAATGGGAACCACAGGGGAATGGGAACCCCATGTGGCAAGATCCTCCCATTTTTCAAGGAAAGAGAGAAAATTCCAGTTTCTTAAGAACTCTTAAGCACACCTGTGGTGGGGGAGACCCACACATACGACTGATAGTTGGTGACCTCTGCTGAATGAAGGATGCATACAGCAACGTTGAAGAACAAGGCAAAGCAGTATTGCAGAGTTTAAAATGCAGATTTAATAGTGTGCTTTTATACTTAGAAAGCACACCTATTGTTTTTCCAGGAAAAAAAAAAAGGATAGACAGTCAAGTTCAGTGGTTGGAGTAAGTAAAAGATGTGGTGAGTACATGTTGGGGACGTGCCTCCAGCCCTCCACAGAGAGGAGGGCTGTGGTTATATCAGAATTAAAGGGAAGAGAGCTGTAAGGTTTTTAGATTTTAGATTAAAGAATAGTAAAACTCGCCAGAGGGATCTTCCTACAAAGCAAATTTCATCACATCCATTGCTCTAATTAAAATCTTCCAAGTAGTACCTTCCCACGATGAACAGTTATGCAGCAGTTGAATGAACGCCCCACTGCTTCTCCCAGCATGATGGATCTTGGAAACATAATGCTGAGCAGAAAAGGCAAGTCCCAAGAGACTTCAAATAGCATGAGGTGCTTCAATTGTATGGTCAAGTTTTCATTCTTAAATTGGATGGCAAGGTCAAAGGTGTTTTATTGGTTTGCTTTTCAATGTACATGTATTACACTGCACATGTCAAATAGTACATAGTTTTAAGATGTGTAAAGGAAGAAAGGGAGCAAAGCATCCAAAGGAAGGAGGGAAGGAGGAGAAAGACAAGAAAGCTTTGGGTGTTTGTTGCCTAGGAGATAAAAATCCAGCCTCTCAGTGAGATTCTTAGCAAAGCCTTCCTGACCCAGCCTCGTCCTGCCCCGCCACCCACCATACCAGCCTCATCTCCTGCTCCTGGTCCCATGCAGCCTCCTCTCCAGACCCCAGAACTCCCCACCTGCTCCACACTCACTGTGATCTTTCCCAGTGGCACACCTTTGCTCATGCCTGGTGATCCAGCCCTCTGGGCACATCTGGCCTCAGGCATCAGGTCCCCAGCTAAAATGTCCCCCTTACAATGCATCCACACCCCCTGCAGTCGTTCTAATCTATGCCGCACCACACCGCATCTTCAGTATCTGTCTCCCCACCAGGCTGTGAGCTCCAGGAGGGCAGAGAAAGGAAACTTAACAGCCAGTATGGAGGTCTCCTTTCACCAGGCACTCCATGGGCTGAGTAAAGTCTTCTTTATCTTTATCTTTCTAGGACCAACACTCAGCATAGCAGCTGGCACACAGGAGACACTCACATGCTACCCAGAATAATGCCAACATCAACAGCAGACACAGCCCTCCCTCAGGGTAGACTCTGCCAGCCACATTTTGGTCATGGGGCATATGGCCATGGGGGTCAGGCTAGGAGGAAACAGCTCCACCACTCCTTACCTAAGATCACAATATACTCAGCTCTGCATGAAATTTTATTATTGTCACAATAAAGAAAACACTCACTATGCATTATAGTATATTAAGAGGAATAGAAAGGAGCTAAAATTCTCATAGAACATTAACAGGAAAGCAGCAAGCTATCTAATAAACCAACTGACAGCAGCGTCTGTCTATTATATAGAAATATGGAGGTAAATTCTATTTTTAAAAAGTTAAGATTTTAAAATGTTTGTAAAGAGGGAGATTAGAAGGGATGTAGAGCTGCTATTTGCCTAATAAACCTTTTAGCACTATCTGACCCTATATACATGTGATATCTTGATAAATTAAAAAAAGAAACAGAAGACACATGGAAGAGATCAGAGGAAAGAATGAGAATTTCTGATTCTGCTTGGCTTCATACCAGGCAGTGCCCTTCTGGGAATGGGTGTAGCTGGGAGCTGATAGAGCACTGGCTGGAGCGGTCACAGCTGAAAGTGTCTCTCAGAAACCAGAGGCCACTAATGCAGACCTTCCAGTTAGGTCATGCAGGGAAGAGTTTAAGGCATTACAGATCTCTATCACTCCCCAGGTGTGTCTGTTGTGCCTAAAGCTTTACAAGCACATCTCATTTAATTCTCACACTGATGTTTGAGGTAGGTATCCTTATTGTCTCCACTGTACAGATAAGAAAACAGAGGCTCTGAAAAAACGAAACGTATTTCTCATAGCCAGGAGGTGATAGAGATGGGATGGGAACCCAGGTCTGTTTCCCCACTAGACTGAAGCCACATGAGAGGAGGGATGGTCAAGTTCATCTGTGCTCACCACTGCCAGGGCCTAGAAGACAGCCTGGCACAAGATGTTTAACAACTGAATCACTGTCTGACTCCAAAGGCCAGGTTCTACTGGGCTACCAGGCTCAACTCATTGTTCCCCAAACACACAAGCCTGTATTTAATTCCCAAGGGCTTTCACATGTCCTTGTAAACTGCAAAGTAATATCTCCAGAGATCTTCTTTAGGGTTCTAAATTCCTCTCCACTGCAGTGGACATTGGATTTAGATACATGTTAATTTTGGGGGTCCTCTGACATCCAAGAAAGTTCTCTGAGCATTCTAAGTGTTTATCTCAGGGGTATATTTGAAGCAACTCCATCCCAGAAAATTAGAGGGCTTCTCTCTTTAAAAAGAGACTCCAGATGCCTTGGAAAAAAGAGGAAATTCAGGAAGAAGACGATGTTGCAAGGGAATTAGAAGAAAGCCAAGCAGGAGGGTCAGCCACTTGGATTTTATGGGTTTTCAGGTCCACCCATGAGTTCTAAAGGAACCCATTGACTTGTGTCGATGATGGAGATTCTGTTCTTAGTTTCTAATTGTTTGGAGAATTTGAGGAGGTGAGAGAAGGGAGAAGAAATCTTTTTGTTGTTTGGAGGTTAAGAACAAAAATAAGATGACCCTTAGCTGGACAGTGGAGGTCTTGTTTCAAGTTTAACTCCAGTGCCTACCTATTTCATGACTTCATGGGGGCTCATGAGTTAATGAAGAAATGGAAAGAACAATAAAAAGGAAGATGGGATCAGTCCCACAACTCTACCTTTCTCTTCTCACATCTTTAAAGTTAGACACTTTCCACTGAGACAAGGTCCATAGTGCACAAAAAAGATAGGAACTATTAACACTCAGTGAGGCCACTGGCACCCCATTTACACATGTACATACACAATTAAGGAACCCAAGTTAATAATCGCTGTATTACATTGAAATGCTTTGCACTCCTCCCATATTTTGAGATACATGATTTTCAGTATGGGTCATATTTTACAGAAATACTTACATGATTTAATTTTTTCAAAATTTCTATTTCTGTTTCAACATTGAGAGCCGGATCCTTTGATAAATAAAATAACATTAGAGTTTATTAATAATAATAACCAATATTTAGAAAATATTTAGTTAAAAAAAACTTAGTTGATAAAGGAAGACTGCCTTAGTTCCAAACCCAGCTCTACTCAAATAGAGAACGCAAGGCCTAGAGGTCAATGGTTTAAATAACTCACCTAAAATCATTCTGTAAAGTGCTTGGCAAACAGGAAGCATTCAATAAATGACCAGGCTTTACACCAAGTTCTTTATTTTAAAGGGCAATCTCACATAAGCCTCATAATCCCCAAGTGAACTGGGTTCTATAATTATCCCCAATTTACAGATAGAGCAACTGAGGCTCAGAGAAAGGAAGTCACTTGCTCCAGTTCCCACAGCCCAAAACAAGCATTTCCACTGTTCTCATGCTTACCTGGTAAGCTCAGCTTGTCTCATTAGCTGTGGAATTGTATGCATTCATAAAAATGATAAAACAAAACCAAAAAAAATCCACAAAAACGTACTTAATTAAACTGTGTGAAGACAATGTCAAGTCCAATTTCTCATAATAAAGGAGACACAGTTTTCCAATTTCAACTGTAAGCTGACATATTTACTGAGACTCTTAACTAGAGGAAGCTTCAGCGTACTGAAATTGTTCTCCATTACAATTCCAAAAGGATGAATCAAGTTACTCAACCTCATGGGCTACACCCTCCACAAGCACAGAGGATATAGAATTACATATTTATGTAAAATGGACTTCAGCTAAGAAACCCAGATGTTTAATTTTAAAAGTCTGCCTCTTCCTGTAAGCTGTTAAACTCATTACCAAGTCAGGGTGTGCTCTGATGACAGAGAGGTCTAAAAGAGTCCAATATAATTTGAAAGATGAAATTATGAACTAAACTTTTGCTTTAAGTCATTAAGAATCTGGTATGTATTTTCTTCCCCCCAAAATGGGAAACAAATCCAAAATCACAGGGGAAAAGATCTATAACAAAGTGAACACAGAAAGGAAATTCCTCTTGCCATGTGAGAACGGCATTGTTTTGGAGTGAAAAAATTGATCTTTAAAGAATGTTAAACTATAATAGCCAGAAACAGCTGGCCACAAAGGAAAACGTGATTACGGGTCACATTTTACAGTACTTTGTTAGGTCATGTGTTGAAGGACCAATAAATTTGGCCATTTCACTCACAGAGTAAAAGTGTATTACACAAAATGTAATAAAATGAATGGCTAGTATATAGAGACGATTAAAATAATTTAATTAAGATTGTTAAAATCTATAAACACTAAGATATTCATTGCCACATTACCGGAATGAGCAAAGAATTAGAAACTATCTAAACGATCAACCAGAGAAATGGTTGAATAAATTATGATCAAGTCTATGAAAATTGAGACTTGACCATCCAAAAGCATATATTAGGGGAAAGTTGACGCATTAATGCTTGTGCAGAAAAGCAGAATACTGAGTTGTATATATAATGTGATTTCAACCATCTAAAAACACGAATTCATATGAACAAAGACTAAAAGGAAAAGAGAAACTGAAAACAGCTGTGGAGTTATAGTGGTGGGGACATGGCTGGGGTTTTTTTCCCCCCCTAATTTCCTTTCGTTTATTGTAAATAGTCTTGTAACAACTTAGAACAAAAAAAAAAACCAACTTCCTGCTAGTACATTATTACGTACAACCCAGTAATTTTTAAAACCAAATTATCTTTAAGTTTCTAGATTAAACATGTCCAAAATTTTTTAACGTTCTTTGATACAAATTCGGATATCTAAGCAGCAAATTCTCCCAGACTTTGAAAATCACCACTCCAAATTTTTGGGACATTAAGACGTGTTAAGGGGGGCCGGGCAAGTTGCTCAGTTAGTTAAGAGCGCGAGCTCTGAGCAACAGGGTAGCCAGTTCAATTCCCACATGGGCAAGTGAGCTGCGCCTGAGCTGAGCTGCCACTGAGCTGCCAATAGATGGCAGGATGGTTCAGCTGGTGAGAGTACATGCTCCTAACAACAAGGTTGCCGGTAGACTCCCGCATGGGATGGTGGGCTATGTCCACCTGCAACGAAGACTGAATACGGCACCTTGAGCTAAGCGGCCGGGAGCTGCCGAAGGGTGACTGGATGGTGACTAGACTTGGAGCTGAGCTAGCTGCGTCCTCCACAACTACAACTAAGATTGAAGGACAATAACTTGGCTGTCCCCTTCCCCAATTCCCCAATAAAATCTTAAAAACTAAAATAAAATTTAAAAAAAGTGTTAAGGGAGTGACTGGTTAGCTCAGTTGGTTAGAGCATAGTGCTAATAATACCAAGGTTGCTGGTTCGATTCCCACATGGGCCATTGTGAGCTGCGCCCTCCTTAAAAGAGTCAACCGTCAACCATTTCATTGAAGCATGAAAGCAATGTGTAACTAATGACCATGGCTGTTCCCCAGTGTAAAAAAAAAAAAAAGAAGTGTTAAGAACAGCTGAGCAGCCCCAAACACATGTGCTTACT